TTTTTTGTTTTTTAAACACTTTTACTGCATTTCTGTTTATAACACAGAGGAGGAGGGGGGAAAGTGTCTTATTTTTCTGCAGTTTCTTACCTAGTTAACTAGTTTGTGTGCCTTGTACTGAATTGGGAATTGGGGTCTGTAGTTGTTTACCATGCTTGCTGACATTTTGTAGTCATTAGTTGCTGTCTAGTCAAGTTGATTCCGATTCATAGTGATGTTGGCATTTACTTAGGACTTTATCTTCACTGTTGGCAATGAACCAATTACCTTGGTAAATATTATGCTTGTTTAAATCAAATTGATCGATAAATCCAATTATTATTATTATTATTAGCTAAGATGGCCCTACGCCAGGCAATCTTTAGTGAAAAGCATGATTTGGGTCTGGTTGGGCTAGGGAAAATCTGTAGGAACACACTGGGGAATGAGAATCCCTACCTAAAACAAAAGTCCTACACAAACCTGTGGCAGGTGTAACTCTGATCTTCCGGTTAGCATCACTTTACTCTGCATTTCTGAAAACCACAAAGAAAGGATACATTTTCCTGTAGACTTTAGGTTCCAATTCCTAGATTCAGGCTACGTACATGACTCAGTTTGAGCAGGGCTTGTAGTTTTCCTGTCCCTTTGTACTCAGTACTGTTCAACCCAAAGACCGAAGAGACCAACTACAAAAGCAACAACTGCTTTATTTGAGTCATTTCCTTAAGAATGTCTGTGTTTTTCCTCATTATCTCTTTAATTTGCTTCTTGGAAATCTAATAACACTAGTTGGAAAATTGTTAACAGTGGGGCAGACAGTTTTTTTCGTAACTCGATATTCTGCACGTGATTTTCATGTCACTTTAAAAGAAATAAAGATGTGCATGTGCTGATAAAGTTCGACTACATGCAAATAAAAACCAGTTGTCTTCAAACTGACTCTGATTCGTGGCGACCCTGTATGTGTCAGAGTAGAACTGTGCTCCATAGGGTTTTCAGTGGCTGATTTTTCAGAAGTAGATTGCCAGGCCTTTCTTCCAAGGTGCCTCTGGGTAGACTCGAACCTCCAACCTTTTGATTAGCAGCTGAGCACATTAGCTGTTTGTACCACCCAGGGACATGCAAATAGATATAACCTTTTAATAGAGTTTATGGTGCTTTTTTTCCTTATTTTGTTAATTTAGCACTCCTACAGAAAATCTACTACTACATGGTCCTATAATCATCATATATATTGTCCAGATATCTGGAACATCTGTTCTGCCCCTGGCAGAGGAGACTATCTCATATCCTCCATCAGCCACTGATAAAATGGCATCCTTTTCCTGCTCAAAAGAGGTGTATGTGT